GTCTTTAAAAGGAGAAACTTATGAATAGAGGTAGACTTCGACTATGAATATAACAGAAGTGAGACAATACAAAGAATCAGCAAAAAGAAGAGAGACTGATACAAAATGATATTAGAAGAGAAAGATGAAGGTAGCAAAAGAAAACAAACACAATATAATAAGAGATATTAGAAGAAAAAAAACAGTAAAACAAGAACCAAAAAAGAAGAACCTAAGTGAAAAGAAAATAAAACCAAGACAAATGAAAACCAATATGGAATAAGTAAAGAATTAGAGAACACAAACTACATAACAATCTGGAACTTGCTAATAAATATAAACAAGAAAGAAGTAGAATATATATGCAGAAGATTTAAAAAAGCCCATATAGTAAGAATTAAAAGGTCAAAGTATAAGGCCTTAGCAATAGTACAAATAGAAGAAACACATGAAGACATGCCATGGGCTATACTACTAAACAATAACAAATTAGTACAAATAACCAAAGAAATAAAAAATTATGAAGCAAGAAAAAGACAGAATATATACAACAAAATTGACAAAATTACCAAAAAGTGTCTCAGAAGTCCTACTATTATGGAGTTTGAAAAACAAAAGAGTTAAATCAGTTCACATACTTTCAAATAGAAATAAAAATCAAAGAAAAACAGCAACAGTCATGTTTGCAACAGAAGAAGATATGAAATTAGTCTAATCAAAACTATTTATATTTAACAACTTTCAACTTTATTGGATAAAAGAAAAAATAGAAAGAACAAGATAAAGAGAAAGCCTCAAACAAGAAAGAGTAAGAAGCTAGAAAAGGTTTAGTTAAGCCTTTAATGCAGAAGAAAACATCAACAGAAAAGAAAAACAAGAATATGGGTCAAGTATAAACAGAAAAAGAAGAAAACAAAATCAAAAAGTAGAAGATCAGATAACAACAAGCAAAGGCTATACACAAGATCAGGCTACAGAAAATGTAACAAAACATATAAACTTATTTAGAGAAAAAGACAAACCTCATAGAAGGAAAATAGCTAAAACCAAATCTCAAGTACAAAAAAAAACCTCATATACAAGTAACATCTTAAGGCAAATTGTAAGTACCCTAGTCATAGTAAAAATGAAGTGTCAGGTCATATGATTTCTGACACTCTAAATGATTACCTACCAATCAGAATTTAGGATTTGGTATAATGTAAAATTTTATAAAAACAATAAAGTTTTTTCAAAAATTGCAAATAGCTTAAAATTTTGCTTATTAAATCATCTTTTGCACTCTAATTAAAAAAATTTTTTGCAAAATTTTATTATATGATATAATTCCCTAACTCTAAATATATAGTTTTTTTCTGTTGTCTTTAATTGTTTTGATTTTTAGATATCCGACTAGAGCTTTAGAAATCACATAATCCAATACCTTGTTTTTGCTATGACTAGGGTATTAGCAAATTATAAAAAGACTTAAAAGACTAGAGAACATAAGAGGTACAACAGAGTGAACTCTGGCTGATCACTCCTAAGAGTGCCCCAGTTGAACTAATGAGTATAGACCAGGAGATTAAAGAGTTTTTGCATGGAAAAAGAAGAAATTTTGAAAGAAGCAATATAAAAACACCTTTTGATCACAAAAAAGAAACAAAGAAAAAAGAAAAACAAAAAAAAGTAAATATAAAAACACAATATAAATATCTGAAAGAAAAATAGAAACAAGAAAAAAAAGAAATCAAAGTTGCATATCACAACATTAACAGACTTAAAACCAGAGGTTGGAAGCTAGAAAACCTTATAAGATAGGCAAGTAAAAAAGAATTACAATAGTAGGAATAACAGAAACAAATATTACAGAAATGAAAGAAAAGTTTTATTGTACAATTGCAATATATAGTATAAGGATTACTGGACTAGTGTAGCAACTGATAAGAAAAAAAGGTCAGACATAGGAATATTAATAGACAGAAGGTAGGAAAAGCATATAGGAGCAGTTAAAAGAATCAGTAAGTACTTGCTAGAAGTAAGATTATATTTTAAACAACTAGAACTAGTAGTATTAGAAGTATATATCCTACCAAATGACAAATCAATCAGCAAGAAAATTTAGCAAAAAATCATAAAAGTAGTAACAAACAAAAAAAGAGGTACAGAAATAGTTATATTAGACAACTTCAATTACACAGTAGATAACATACTAAATAGACAGCACCTACAAACATCAAGTTATAAAAGACTACTAATATTTAGCTAGCTTAAAAGATAAAACTTTATAGACTCATTTAGAAACATGCATCTAGCAAAAAAAGCATACATATAGTCAAATCAGGAGGCTGCAACAAGAATAGATTACATCTAGCTATCAGAAATATTTGCATTAGACTTACAGAAAGTGAACATAGAAGAAGCAGAAGGTCTAACAGATAGTGATCACAAGATCATAACAACAGAAGTATGAGTAGAACATGTGGGGTGTCTCATATGAAAAGAGACCATTTTTACATTTTTAAAATTTTTTTATTTATTTTATTTTTCAATAAATATGTATTCAAAGAAAAGATTTACTATAAATCACAAGTACACATTACATAATAAGAAAATTAGTGAGATGCAAAAAACTAAAACCATTATAAAATCTAAAAATAGAAATTAACAATGTATGGATCTTCAAGGATCTAATAAAAAATTCTAGAAATGTAGATCTTTGAAAAGTTAAAGTAACATCTAACACTAATCACAAAGTCTTCATTTAAACACAAATTCTTTTCTTAAATACAAAGTTTATTAAATTGGGTTTTCTGATTTTAGCATTTTTGATTTTTTTTGGTTTATTGTTGTTTTTTTTTTTTCTTTTGGCATTATACTAATGAATTTCTTTATCTTCAAATCTTTCAGCAATTTTTTGATAAAATTTCTTGTAGTCTCCCTTTCTAGTCTCTCTCTTGGTCTTTTGATTTTAATTATATGTTTTAATAATTTTCTGGTAAAACATCTTGTGGTCTTCTCTAGTTTTTCAGCTTATTGATAATTTTAATTGTTTTTTTTCTGTTCTTTCAGATTTTACTAATTAATTTTCTGTTTTTAGGCCTTTCAGCAAGTTCTGGTGAAATTTTTTGTAGTCTTTCACTTTTTTAGTAATTTTAATTGTGTTGGCTTTTTTTTCTGTTCTCATGAAATTCTTGCAAATGTGGCAGTGAGTTTGTTTGAATGACAAAAGAGACTTGTAGTGCTGATCTATGAAACAAAGTATTTAAAAATTTTTATTATTATGAAGAAAGTTTATTGTTTTTAGGGTTTTCAGTAATTTCTGCTGAAATTTCTTGTGGTCTCATCTGGTCTTCTGGCTTTCTGGCAATTTTATTGTTTGTTTTTTTTTCTGTACTTTTGGATTTTACTAATTTTCATTGTCTTTAGGTCTTTCAATGATTTCTGGTAAAATTTCTTGTAGTCTCTCCTAGTATTCTGGCTTTCTAATAAGTTTAATTGTATTGTTTGAGGTTTTTTCTGTTCTTCTGGATTTTATTAATTAATTTTCTGTCTTTAGGTTTTTCAACAATTTTTAGTGAAATTTCTTGTGGTCTTCAGCTTTTTTGGTAATTTTAGTTGTGTTAGTTTTTTTTCTGGTTTTCCATATTTTACTAATTAATTTTTTTTGTTTTTAGGTCATTCGGCAATTTCTAGTAAAATTTCTTGTAGTCTCTCCTGGTATTCTGGCTTTCTGTTAATTTTAATTGTGTTGTTGGAGGTTTTTTCTGTTCTTTCGGATTTTACTAATTAATTTTTTGTCTTTAGGTTTTTAATAATTTTTGGTGAAATTTCTTGTGATCTCCTCTGGTTTTCCAGCTTTTCTGATATGTTTAATTATATTGTTGGTTTTTTTTCTGTTTATCCGAATTTTACTAATTAATTTTCTTTGTCTTTAGGTCATTCGGCATTTCTGGTAAAATTTCTTGTAGTTTCTCTTGGTATTCCAGTTTTCTGCTAATTTTAATTGTATTGTTGAGGTTCTTCTAGATTTTACTAATTAATTTTCTGTTTTTAGGTTTTTTGATAATTTTTGATAAAATTTCTTGTGGTCTTCTGGCTTTTCTGGTAAGTTTTAATTATGTTGTTGGTTTTTTTTCTGTTTATTCAGATTTTACTAATTAATTTTCTGTCTTTAGATTTTTCAGTGAAATTTCTTGTAGTCTCCTGGCTTTTCTGATAGGTTTAATTATGTTGTTGTTTTTTTTCTGTTTATCTAGATTTTACTAATTAATTTTCTTTGTCTTTAGGTCTTTCAACATTTCTGATGAAATTTCTTATAGTCTCTCTTGATATTCCAGTTTTCTGCTAATTTTAATTGTTTTTTTTTTGTTCTTTCAGATTTTACTAATTAATTTTCAGTCTTTAGGTTTTTTGATGATTTTTAGTAAAATTTCTTGTAGTCTCCTGGCTTTTCTGATAGGTTTAATTATGTTGTTAGTTTTTTTTTCTGTTTATCCAGATTTTACTAATTAATTTTCTGTCTTTAGATTTTTCGGTGATATTTCTTGTAGTCTCTTGGCTTTTCTGATAGGTTTAATTATATTGTTGGTTTTTTTCTGTTTATCTAAATTTTACTAATTAATTTTCTTTGTCTTTAGATCTTTCAGCATTTCTGGTAAAATTTCTTGTGATCTCTCTTGGTATTCCAATTTTTTGCTAATTTTAATTAGTTTTTTTTCTGTTCTTTCGGATTTTACTAATTAATTTTTTGTCTTTAGGTTTTTTAATGATTTTTGATGAAATTTCTTGTGGTCTTCTAGCTTTTCTGATAGGTTTAATTATGTTGTTGGTTTTTTTTTTGTTTATCCAGATTTTGCTAATTAATTTTGTCTTTAGGCCTTTCAGTGATTTCTGGTGAAATTTCTTGTAGTTTCCTCTGATATTCCAGCTTCTGATAATTTAATTGTATTGTTGGTTTATTTTCTGTTTTTTCAGATTTTACTAATTAATTAATTTTCTTTGTTTTTGATAATTTTTAGTGAAATTTTTTGTGATCTTCTCTAGTCTTCTGGCTTTTTTGACAATCTTAATTGTGTTAATTTTTTTTTCTTTCCTTCTGGCTTACTAATTTTCTTTAGTCTTTTGGGTTTTCTAATTTTATTCTTATCTTTCAGCATTTCACTAATGTGCTCTTTGGGTTTTCTTGCTTTGAACTGTTTTTGAGTCTTTCGATGTTTTATTAATGAAATTTCTTGTGGTCTTCAGCCTAGAGAACTACAAGAAGGTTCTTCAGTAAAATGCTGAAAGTAATTTTTAGTCGATGAATTTTCTTGTAATCATGTTTTTTTCTTTACATATATATTAAATTTTATAATAAATAAAGTTTATATTATGTAATTATCTTTGATATATAAAATGAAATAAATATACATATTTTTTTGTATAATATTGTATGATTGAATGATTATTAAGATATGAAACAATAGAATTT